CCTTCTCTGGGCGCTGATTTGCGTGTTGAGAGCTCTACGAGGGTCCCGGCGGTAACCTGGTTGACGGTGCAGCAGCGAGGGGCGGGGGGGGTGGGCAAGGGGGGAGAGGCTGCGTGGAAGGAGGCCGCTTCTCGGCAGACGAGGCCCACGCTGAGGTCGGGCATGTCCCCCTACAGGCGGATCTTGGACGACAGATTCATAAAACATGCCCCAAACATGCCCCCCAAATACGAAACAATGATACAAACAACAAGAATCGTCCCCAGGCTGTTGTTTGACAATTTTTGGATATCCCCCTCTGTAGAGGGACACGCCCGACGTAAGCCCACGCCTTGAGAAGCAGCCTGCCTCTCCGGAGCCTTGCCCCCTCCCCCTGCCCCCCTCTGCGCATGGCCAGCTCCGGGGGGGTGACGTGAAGAACCTCTTCCCCACAGCCCTCCCGCCGCGCGAACGGGCGGAGCCGAGAACACCACCAGGGCGTTGCTGGAAGCGGCCCTCGCCCAAAGTGTCCCCAGCTGGTCGCTCCGCTCTGGAGCAGCTGGGGCCCCCCTGGGCTTCGTGGAGGGCGCCCCGGCGGCCGTGGAGACCTGCTTGGAAACCATGGGGACGCCCAGGCCGGGGACACCTCTGGCAGAACCTGGTCCAGTGCGTGCTTTGTCCTCTGCGCGTTCCACTCAGAGGCGCGTCGGGGGGGGGGGACGCGTCCACGGCAAAGCATGGCCTGCCGAGTGCAAAGCGGACTGGCCGCATTGATCAGAGGGCGTCAGCCGGCTCGATGGGCCTGCTGGATGTGAGACCGCGGAAAAGGGCACGGAACGCGCGACGCATCCACCTGTCGAAGCATCGGGCGTCAGGCGGCTGGAAGCCGAGCGCACGCAAACTCACGCAACCCGCCGAGCCCGAAACAAAAGCTCTGGACTGATCAGGGATTCGTTTTTGTATGTGAATGCGCATTTATATATGGTCCAGGGCTTGGGCCCCCCCCCAATGCTGATGCCATTGGGCCCCCCCAACCCCCGCGCGATGGTCCCCCCCGCCCCCCCCTGTGGGCGTGGCGTGGTGCTGCGCTGCGGTGCCCCCCTCCCCCCCCTGTGGATGTGGTGTGGTGCTGTGGTGGTTCAGAGGTGGTCGTCGTCGTCGTCGTCGTCGTCCTCGTCGTCCTCGTCGTCGTCGTCGTCATCATCGTCGTCGCCGTCGTCATCGTCGTCATCGTCGTCATCGCCGCCGCCACCGCCGGCGTCGTCGCCGCCGCAGCCGTCGTCCTCGTCGTGGTCGTCGTCGTCGTCGTCGTCGTCGTCGTCGTAGTCGTCGTCGTCGTCGTCGTAGTCGTCGCCGTCGTCGCCGTCGTCGTCGTCGTAGTCGTCGTCGTCGTAGTCGTCGTCGTCGTCGTCTTCGTCGTCGTCGTCGTGGTCGTCGCCGTCGTCTCTGGGACCATACCATCGGGGGGGGGGGCCGAGGAATCCTGGGACCATGCCATCTAGGGGGGGGGCCGTGGGCCCGGAGCCTGGGATCATATGTACACACTTACAACATACACGGATTGAACCTAATACTACCAGATGGAAAAAATGAAGATCCGCGCGGAGTTAGGTTTCGACGCCCGAATTCTCAGGCAGCGCGTGCGGCACGACCTCTTTGCGCGCTGTACGCGACAGGGGGCGGGTCCGGCGCCGAGCCAAGACATCGGCGCGGACCCTCCGTCTGACGCAGGGAATGTTTGGCACGACAGTGCAACATGCTGGTCTGTCGCTACTTCCCTCCCAGATCACCCCCTTTCAGACAGAGTCCTGCTCCCCCACCCTGGCTGTTCGTGCATCCACGCAGATTCGTCTCCGAGTCCCCTTCTAAGAGTCCATCCTGGCCGATTCCTCCTACCCCCATCACCGTGGCCACAAGAACCCCCTTGAGACGCAAAGAACGACACAACCGTGTGAGCATAATCGGGCAAGGACGGGAAGTGCAGATGTTGTGGATTGGGCTGGTAGGGGGAAAAGAAGGAAAGGATGATAGCGACGGCAAGGCGGCGGATGACGAGGATGGCAACGTGGATGACGGGGAGGGCAGCAAGGGGAGCGGGAGGAAAACGAGTAGGAAGGCAAGCACGAGGACACGGAGGAAGAGATGGAACAGATCACGTTCGAGGAGGAACGAAGCGGAGGATGAGGGAGAGGACGAGAAGAACAAGGACGACGACGACGACGACGACGACGGAGGACGGTAAGGAGCCCGAAGAAATGGACGTTGAAGGAGGGATCCTCATGATCTTCTAAGGATACCCTGGGGGCTGTTGGGGCCGTCTGGGGTTTATCTTCCGGCATCCTTGGGGTCCCTTGGGTGTCTGTCGGGGCGGTCCTCCTACAGGCGGATTTTGGGATACAAATATTTGTTGGTTTGCATTTTTCACAAATGATCAAAGATACCAGAATATCGTCCGCTACGATTGTCTATTCCTCCTGTAGAGGGACATACCCGGCGTAGGTTTTCTGCAATCTTCTATCGGACTCCCCCCTTCCTCCGCGCCCAGCTGCGTGCGTCACCCCCACTCTCAGGTCGGAAGAGGCCCCCTACAGGTGGATTTTGGACGAAACATCAAAAATAGTCAACATATGCCCAAACATGATCAAACATAATCGAAAAGCTGTCCCCAGACTGTGCTTGGACCGTGTCTGGATACTCCTCCTGTAGAGGGACATGCCCGACGTAACACTACTCCTGGGGGTCCTTGGGTGGCCAAGACGCTGCACTGGAGACGAGGGCGCCTACGCGCGACCTTACGCGGCCAGCTCACGCGCGAATGTCGGCGAAGACGACCCCGCTGTTCTGCGTCGCTCACGTGCTGTGTGGCAGGGTCTCTGCAGTCTTCTACAGGACTCCCCCCCACCCGCCGCGCCCAGCTGCGCGCGCCACCCCTGCTCTTGGATCGGGCATGTCCCCCTGCAGACGAATCTCGAAAGACACATACATGTTTGAAAATGTACCGAGAAATAGAAGACAAATCGGGCCCGGACGATTGTTTGACTATCTTGAAGAACTCCTCCTGCAGATCGGGAGCGGCCAAGAGGGGGGTGTCCAAGAGGGGGGGGTGCAAATCATGACCGGCGGCATGTGCGCGGCCCAGCGGGGGGGCCAGGGACGTAATGAAATAAGAAGAGGCGCCACGAAACCTGGGGAAATATTATGCCCCCCGCCATGCTATCCCCCCCCCTAGTCATCACCCCCCTCTTCCACCCCCGATGCAGAGGGATGTGCCCGACGTAACCCTGCTCCTTACCAGCCTCGAGCGTATCCCTATCCCTGAGATTGGCACGCCAAAAGGCGATGACAATCTTGGGGATTCGCCCTCAAAAAAAAGGGAATCCCTGAGCTTGGCATCGTGACGAGGAGGTGCCCAGCATAGGGATAGGGATATGTTCCAGGCTGGTAAATAAGCGGAACAACTCTCCGGTCGGCGTTGGAGCGCGCCGGGGGCGGCGCCAGAGGTGCCACAATCTACTTGGCATCGCTCGGACGTGTGCGTTTTTTCCTCGGCGAGGACCATCGAGGACCATCGAGGAGCATAGGGATAGGGATATGTTCCAGGCTGGTGAGCTCCCGGGGTGTCCCCGGGGTGGCCACGGCGCGCGCCCCCGGTGCTCTCCAAAAAGGCGTCCAGAAGACACCGCCCGAGAGAATGACCTCCAAAGGACGGGCCTGGCAGGCCACCCAGGCCGCCCAGATCAGGTGGTCCAAGAGGCCTCCTCCTCCTCCTCCTCATCCTCCCAGTCCTCGCCCTCCTCGCCCTCCTCCTCCTCGCCCCCCTCCTCCTCCTCCTCCTCCTCCTCCTCCTCCTTCTCCTCCTCCTCTTCCTCCTCCTCCTCCTCCTCCTCCCCCTCCCCCTCCATGACGGCCCAAGATGGCTCAAGATGGCCTCGAGAGTTACCCAAACGGCCTCCTGGACAGCCCAAGAAGGCTCCAGTAACCTCCTGCACAGCCGGAAGAGGTCAAAATTACTGATAATCCGTAAGGATTGTTTTGAAGGATTTCCGCATTCTCGCCGTTTCGAGACTTCATCTGCTCAAGACAGCCCCAAGAAGCCTCCAAGATGGCCTCAAGACGGCCCAGGAGGGCACCAAGAGGGCCCCTCGATGGCCCAAGAGGGCGACAAGATGGCCCAAGAGCGGCCCAATAGGAACCCACGTCGGCACAAGTTAGCGCTCAGACGGCCCTCAAGGTTCCCAAGAGAGCCCCCAGACGACCCAGAGAGCCCCCCAAGATGGATGGATTCTGATAGCACCAGTACGGCGCAAGAGCGGCGTCAGACGGCCCAAGGGGCCAGCAAGCGCCCCCGAGACGCCCTCAAGGCGCTGCGCCAAGAAGAAGGCCCCAAAGAACCCCCCCAAGAAGACCCCAGAACCTTCCAAAACCCGACAAATCCCACTTCGAGGCATCCCGTGCCCCCTCGACTGGCCGTTGCCCAGCATGCTGGACTGCAATTGGTGGCGGGACCTGCCGCCTTCAGCTGGAGATCCGATGCTCGTGGGCCCCACTGCCACCTCCCATCCGCCCACCTTCTGACCCTCCGCGAGGTCTCTCTCGCCCCCCCCCCTCACGCAGCGCCCCCCTGACGGCTACTGCGCTGACGGGCACTCTGACCCGCGGCCCAGGGAATCCCATCACGATGCGGGCCACGCTGCAGTGTCCGGAGGAAGTCCCGTAGCGACATCATCCAGCGGGCTTCCAGACTCCCCGTCGGCAAGTGCCCCGTGCGGTGCCGCTGACCCACCCGCGCCGCACGCCGGGCCGGAGCCCGACATTGCCGAGAGGCGGGGCCATCGGGGCCGGAGACGCACCCCGCCGCCAAGGCCATCTCGGGCCCAGCCTGGGCCGCTCTCCCAGCAGGGCCCACGAAGGGTGCGCGCACGAATTCTGCGCCCGAGGCGGGACTCAGCTGGCAAGGCGATGGTGCACGCATCCCCGCCCGCGAGCGACAGAGGAGGGTTCACAAGTACGCCTGGCGGTCATCAGCCCTCATCGTCGCTCATGCCGTCGCTCCCGAAATCCAGCCGCACGCTGGGGCTCGGCGATCCCGCCATCTCGTCATCCAGACTGCCTCCCACCTCCAAGTTGTCGCCAGGGGTCGGCAAGCGCCCCCTCAGCCGCTCCAGTGCCCTGGCGGAGAAGTTTTGGTTGCCGCCAAAATTAAGATGGACTCTCTGCGCGGCGCGCGGAAAACGCTCCGACAGCCGGTCCAGACCCCTGTCGGTGAAACTCTGATTGTAATGAAAATTCAGCTCTACGACACAGGCGCCGACGGGCAGGTGCTCCGCCAGCCGCTCCAACCCGAGGTCCGTGAAGTTCAGGTTGCACCCGAAGTCCAACTGGACGCGCTGGGCGGCGCTCGGCAAGCGCTCCGCCAGCCGCTCCAGGCCCCTGTCCGTGAAGTTCATGTTGTAGTTGAAGTTCAGCTGGACGGCATGGGCGGCGCTCGGCAACTGATCCTCGGGAGCGGCCAAGAGGGGGGTGTCCAAGAGGGGGGGGTGCAAATCATGACCGGCGGCATGTGCGCGGCCCAGCGGGGGGGCCAGGGACGTAATGAAATAAGAAGAGGCGCCATGAATTCTGGGGAAATATCATGGCCCCCACCATGATATCCACCCCCTCCTAGTCATCACCCCCCCCTTTTCCGCCCCCGAGATCCGCCAGGCGCTCGAGGCCCCGGTCCGTCAGCTTCTTGTTGCAGCCAAAGTCCAGCTCGACGCTGCGGGCGCCGCTCGGCAGGCGCTCCGCCAGCCGCGCCAGGCCCCGATCCGTGAAGTTCTTGTTGCCGCGGAAGTTCAGGTGGATGCTGCGGGCTCCGCTCGGCAAGTGCTCCGCCAGCCGCTCCAGGCCCCCGTCCGTGAAGTTCCTGTTGCAGCGGAAGTCCAGATGCACACTCTGGGACTCGCTCGGCAGGTGCTTGGCCAGCAGCTCCAGGCCCCGGTCCGTGAAGTTCTCGTTGTCGCGGAAGTCCAGGTGGACACTCTGGGTGGTCCTCGGCAAGCGCTCCGCCAGCATCGCGAGCCCCCAGTTTGTGAACTTCTGGCTGCCCCCGAAGTTTAAGCGGACGCTCCTAGCAGTGCTCGGCAGGCACTCCGCTAGCCGCAGCAGCCCCTGGTCCGTGAACTGCTGGTTGCCGCCGAAATCCAGCTGGATGGTCTGGGCGGTGCTGGGCAGGTGTTGCGCCAGACTCTCCAGAAACTCATCGTCGAAGATGGAGTTGTCAGCGAAGCCCAGGAGAACGTACTGCTTGCCGAACCGGCACCACTCGCCGACGGCCATCGAGGACACGCTGTTCACGGGCCCACTGAATGTCTCCAACAGGGCGACAATGCCCAATGCGCTGAGACCGTTGCCATCGGTGAACTCCACGTGCTCCAGCACAGTGCTGGCGCGAGCTGCCAGCGCGATCTGCCTACGCTGCTTCCGCTGCTCCTCCATCTCCTCCTCCGCCTCCTCCTCCTCATCGTCCTCCTCTTCCTCCTCCTCCTCCCCATTACTATTTGCCATCAGCCTCCGATCCCCGAACCGCTCTTCCTCCTCCTGAACTCTTACTCCTTCCTCAATTGCTTCTCCTCAGCTTCTCCTCCTCCTCCTCATTATCCTCCTTACTCGCTGAGATACCCTCGTGAGTTATCTAAAATAGTGTTCAGAATCTCTTACCACCAAAAGATGTAATTGTGAGATGATGAATGGCATGGCGCACGAAAAACGCGCTGTCCCTCGCGACGGGCACTCCCTGGGACCGGGCCTCCCTGGGAAGCGAAAGGGTTCACGCTAGGGAGCCGAGATAGGGAGCCGTCGGGGTCACCTCAATGTTCCCAGAACCGTTTCTGCGACAGACTTACTCCCAGATGACTTTGCAGCTTCGTCGGAGACCTTGACTGGAGTAGCCTGGCGCGCTTTCTCCGCAAGGGTCAGCACGAAGGCCCTGACGAGGCTCCAAAATCAGAGAGCCCCACACAGCAGTGGCGAGCGCTTCAAACGGCGCTGCAGGGAGCTCAGCAAGACTTCGGGCTCCAGCGCAGGTCCGAGAAATCCGCGCTGACCGTCGAAAGTGTATGTTTATGTTTATGTTTATGCAGTTGTCCTTCCTCAAAGACTGGCAATCGTAATGTGAGTTGCCAGAGTTGCTCCTCCAAATGCAAAATCTCGACCCAGACCGCCAACCCGCGGACACCCGCCACGTCGACACCCGTCGCGCGAGGCAGCCGCGTCCAGATGAAGCTCACCTCGCGCCGGTGCGCAAACGAGGCGACGTCGATCCCCATCGGCCCACGACACCCGCCGCAAACACCAGACCCCCAGCGCACGGGCGCGGACAGGTTGACGTTGGCCCCCGTCGGGGGGGGACCGTACGCATGATCAACCTAGACTCCAGAGAGACAAAGACGCTGGTTCGGAACCCCCAGCGAGCACGTTACAATCACCACGATGGTCATCTCTTACACCGTCAAGGGCGGCGTGCAGCCACGAGCGTCTGCTGTTATTGGAGCGTCTGCTGGCCGTCCGGCGAATGGCGACACACGGCAGGGTAACTTTGCTTTGCCAGCGGGGAGGAGTTTGAGCGCACCGCCGACTTTGCGCGCCCCCCCTGCTTCTCACCGAACTTAGAGCACAGTCAAGTCGCATAATAAGGATGCGGGGTTAGGATGCGAGGGCAGTGGAGGGCCTGGCTAGTGTTTTTGAACGGGGTTGGCCAGCCCAAATCGCCAAGGACGGGCAGAAGGGGCAAGGATGCAAGGGCAGCCTTGAGAAGCCGCTCATCTTCACTGTGCGACTTGACTGCAACGAGCCTGGTGACCCAGGGGCGACAAGCAAGCAGGAGAGACCATTGTGGAATAGAAAAGTCGGATCGGCGATCGACATTAATCGGACTGGTGGAAGATCGGCAGCCGAATCAGGACAGTGTCGAATCTGCGGGAATCGGCAGCCGAGTAGGCCTCCATGGAGAAATCGGGATCCAAATTGGAAGCCGAAACCAAAACGAATCGTAATCGGAAGTCATCGACATCGATTCGACGAGGAGAAAGGGGAGGAGGATGAGGAGGCGAGGAGGAAGAGGAGGAGAAGGAGGACGATTGTAAACCCAAGAGTCATCGAGGAAGTTCGCATAAACCTTCCCTCCAAACTCCCTTTTCGCAGGCCCTACAAAGGTTCACTGCCACTGAAAGAATTACCTCGTTGGAAGACAACCGTTTTAAGCCCCAGCTGCATGCCGAACAACTCTCGGGACTCCAAAGCCAAGGATCAACCTGACTATTGCGTCCTGACGATCCAGAACAGCGCCAAAACGCAATTCCTGGGATGTCAACACCGCTAATAAGCGCAACGGTTGCGTATGCATGATCCTGAATCTCTGCTGGTATATCCAATTGTTGAAAGCAAGGTGCGCGGCACTGAGGCGAGAACCACATGTTGAACACGACCAGCCCTCAATCCGTGAAACTGTTGCCAATGTTGAAGCTTCAAGGTCATACGTGTTGAAGAGATATCAGGGGGAAAGCCCGGCCCGCCCTTTCGACCGAACTCGGGGTGCGACAAGGAGAAGTTATACAGTGGAGGAGGGAGGAAGAGGAGGAGGAGGAGGAGGAGGAGGAGGAGGAGGAGGAGGAGGAGCAGGAGGAGGAGGGATGAACAGGACGAGGGGGAGGGGGGGGAAGAGAAGGCTAGGTTAGGACAGCCCAGAGGGGAAAATACTCGCAAGTCAAAACGGAAGAGGTCGGTGGCACCTCATCGAAAAAGGATTTGTTCCACCGAGGACAGGGCCCGCGACGAGGTGCCACGACCTGAAATCACGTTTCTGCCCTGAGCACCTGCTTGGCACAACCTCGCGCAACGAGGGCAGCCAGCCGTCTTTCGTATTCAGGGACACCAGAGGCACTCGAGTGGGCAGTCGGCACAGCGGTGCGAGCGAGGGTTTTGCACCGCGGCTTCGGAGCCACAAACAACGGTGAAACCGCAGCAACACGATCAAGAAACTGTCGTACTCGATTGATGGGGCCAAGACCTTGGCGGTACTTACTGATCACTTCGCGACCTGCCCTCGCTGGCCGCAGGCAGGCCTTGTCAAGGTTAAGCGAGCACCGCTTGGCGCAGCACCCGCAACGAACACACAAACACTGCAAACGATCAGCCTTCGATTTTGGAGGCTCTGGAGCTCTGGGGTGGACTTCGCGGGAGGCCACACCCACAACCAGGAGCCCCATGGAACGGCGGACGACCTGACGAACGAACTCGGGGGCCCCAGAGCAACCCAGAGCCTCGCGGGACGTTCCCTCGCGGGCGATCCTCAAACACTGCTTGCACTGCGTACCGAGCGGCCCCTCTTCCCACTCGTGCCGTCCTGGGGTCGGCTGGACCGACCCACGGCTGGCAAGGGCTCGCTCACGCTTCGCTCCCGACTGAAAAGCAGAGGACACAGCAGCAGCAATCTTGACAACATTCGAGGCCGTGGCAACCTCGCTCTCGAATCGGGTGGGAGCCTCGGGTCCTACGTCCTGGTGGAGACGAATCGCCTCCTTCGCACGCAGGTCGGCAGCGCGGTTACCATGCGCTGGCGCGCGAAGGGCAGGCGGGAGGCTACCTACCGCGTCCTCGATCCGATGGGCTTTCACATGCTGGATGGGCTCAACGCGACCAAAGAGAGACCTGGCAAAAGCTGATACTCCTGCGAAAACCTCCCCAGCACGCAACTGCCCATGCTGGGGGAATATCGCCGGGGCAACCTCCCCATTGCAGTCTGCATGCGCGTTCAAACTACGACCAGCGATCCGCGAGCGAGAAAATCTCAGCCATAGCTGGTGCCTGTGGGGAACCTCTCGGCACGGCGCCACGCACCATTGAGAGGGCGGCTTCGGCCCGGGGGGGGGGGGGGGGGAGACAGCAAGGGCAGCGTGCTGAAAACAAAAAAATAATCGACTGCGCGCCGCCGCCGTCAACTGCGACGCGCAGTCGATCGGCATTGCCTGCGAAGGCGGTGGCTTCCTCAGCCTCTAACTGAGGGAAGATCTCACCATCTGCATTCAATACTTGGGCGGCCAGGGGGCGCGCCACCTGGAAGAATCGATGCGAAACCACTACTGTGGAGCAAGCTCGAAGGGCCCCCTTTGGCGGCTTCAGATTCCGCCCGAGCGGCGGCCGCTGCTGGGGGGGTGCAGCAGCAGAACCTGCGGCGAACAGTGTCGGGCTCTCCACGCGCGCGCAAGCCAGCGCGAGCAGCGCAGTGACCGCTGTCATGTGCCACCTGCCCTGTCCTGAGGCAGTCGCACATGGCGCGCGCGAGCTCAGCGCCCTCTCGTGGGCATCCTGGAACGCAGTGCTAAACGTCCTACCTAGCTAGCTTTTCGGAGGAGCACTGGGTGAGCTGGGTCGCGATGCCACCCTGGTTGACCCGCGCAATGGCAATGGCTGAGGCGGGGCGCCACCTTGCGCGGGCGAGGTGAAGGGGCACTCGGGCGATCGGGCCTCGGGCGTGGGCCCACGTGGATCCAGACAGCTCATGGGAGAAAACGTGGCCCCACCTGCGTTTTGGTTCAGATAACTAAGGGACGCTTCGTCGGGAAATGCAACTGCCCGCCAGATCATTTTAGTGGGGCGCTGGCCCAATCGCCTCGCGCACAGCAGGCCCTCCATGCAAAGCAAACTTGGCGCTCAGACTGGCGCCTCTCGTCGTGGGTGCCAGGGGGGACATGGCCTGCCTACGAAGGTCGAGCAGCTCCTGATCGTCAACTTCGTTGACCCCGACGCCGTGCTGACCTGCCATCTTGATGCCCGGCGTGTAGACCCTGCCGTAACGGCCGTCTGCTTTCGGCGCCGAGCGAAAATTAAACGCCTTGTCGATTATCTGCTTGGACTTCTTCAACCAGGCCCGCTTCTTCCTAGACGCACCAGGATGTGCGCGACGCCTGCCGCGAGCGACATTCGTGCCAAGGTAGGAGACGGCCACTTTTGACTTGTGCTTGGACAAGCGGATCATCCCTGCATCCGCCTGGCCAAGAGAATTGTCGCTGGCCGCGACCGCTACTTTGTCATTGAGGGTCGCCTGCAGGCGCTTCGGCACAGCTTGAAACTGAAAGCCAGCCCGCCTAGCAACTCCGAGCACGATGTCACGATCGCAGCCACTGGCGTGGACCCCTGTATCATCAATATAGCCGCGAACTTAACCCCAGGACTGCGGCAGAAGAACTGGTCTTATTCCGACAAAGTGAATGCTCGGGCTGCAACATCAGCAAATGCACATCCTGCAGGAAGGCCATGTCTGGCAAAGAGGGCCGCGCCACTGTGATGTAGGCCGAGCCGCATGATACGCGGAGGTTGCCATGTGTGAAATACCATCTCGAGGATTGGAAGTGGCATCCCATAGTAGCGTGGACGATCTCGAAACACGTCTAGGGGAATGCCTTCGTAACATTT